TATTCCAAAAAGCATTGGGATGCTTAGCACAAATATCAATAGCAATATTTTCGAAAATCAATTTAATCTTTTCCTGCACTTTAGTGGAATTCAAAGTATCGAATATATTCATACTAAACAATTCCAATTATAATGAATCAATATGTCTTTGCTTCATATCAATTAAAGCATTAATATTTTTAGTTACGGGATCTGTAACAAAAGTATAACTTATCTCTTTATCCTTATAAGTAGCAGAAAAATCTTTTGAGTTTATGCTAGTGAAAGGATAAATAGCGTTAATAAACGGTGTTCCAAGTATAATTGGAGGGTATAACTGATTTTTCACCAAGAAAAAGAAATGAGGAATGCAGACTTTATTCTGACAAATACAAGTATTAGATAATTTATACTTTATATCTAAAGCATATCCTGGTGCAGACTTTACCATATGAGTAATTTTTTGAAAATATTTAGTAGGTACTCGACCTTCCTGAATGCAGCTAACATCAGCTCCACTATCAATCAGCAATATTTGTAATAGAAAAACTATTATCAATAAGAATAGTACATTTAATATACCATCTATGAGCAGTGACAATTTACATCATTCCCAAAAACATATCATGTTGAGAATTAATTTTAATAGGGTTTTCATAAGAAATATTATTTTCAGAAATACCTTTGTTTTTATCATCAGATTTCTCAGCTGGAGAATTGATTTTCTCAATCTGAGTAATCCTATGATCACAAATCATTTGATTTTGTTTAAGAGATTTGATCTCTCATTTCAAGTTTTCAACTTCAACCTTTAAATCATTGAAAGAAGAATCTCTTGCCGGAGTAGTATTTTTATTTAAAAAACGGTTATTAACCTCTATTAAAGAATAAGGAGCAGAATATTCAAATTCTTTTTTTGAGTTTTCAAATGATTTAGAAGAACTTCTTGATAAAAAGTTATCCGGTTTGAATATCAAACCTATTGATTTATCAAAAGATTTTGCTAATAAATTAGATACTACTTTTGATTACAAAAATGAAGTTTGGTCAGAGTTTAATAAACTCAGAGGTTATCCCAAAAAGAATAGTAGGCATGCTGATAAACCCAGAATGCGAACTTATTATTACGATCGTCCTACTCCTAAGATGTCTTAATAGAGGGACGTGATTGGAATCAGACTAATACGTCTTATAGTGGTTTCGAAATTTATGAGTGGAATCTTGATGGATTGACTGATAGACAATTGACTATTCTTGTGCATAGAATGCTTATGTATGCAACTATCTGTAAGAGTGTGAAAAATACAGATAGAACTATTTGCAAAATGATTGTTGTAGGTTTTACTGGCCAACTTCGTGGCTGGTGGGATAATTATTTGAATGCTGATGAAAAGTTAATGGTTATTAATGCAATAGCCACTGACGAAGGAGTTGATAACTTAGGCATGGCTCTTGTAAAAAATAGAGAGGATGCTGTTTATACCCTTGTTCTTACTATTTTAGAACATTTCAATGGTAGATTTACCAATCAGCATGAGACTGTTCGTACCCTACTTAATGGTCTTAGATGTAGGACCTTAGGGGAATTCAGATGGTATAAAGATACTTTTATGAGCAGGGTTATGGAGTTACCCGAAAATAAGTTTGACCATTGGAAAGCTAAGTTTATAGATGGCCTTCCCTCCTTATTTGCTGAAAGAGTTAGAAAGACTCTAAGAGGTAGCTTTGGTGAAATTACGTACAAAGATTATACCTATGGTAAGTTGATAGGAATTTGCACACAGGAAGGGATAAACCTGTGCAATGAGTTAAAATTGTCTAGACAGCTTAAGATAGATAAGCTTAAGGAAAGAAATCAATTAGGAGACTTTTGCACCCAGTTCGGACTACCCGAGACTTCTACTCATAAGAAGAAGAAACATAAGTAGCATAGATACCCTAACCCAGACAGTCCTTATAGGAGAAAGAGAGCTAGATATAGATCCAAAGAAGAGCGTGATGCTAAGAAAGCCCATCGCAAGTCCACTAGATTTACCAAAAATAGGTCTAAGCGTGATCTTGCTGATATTAAGTGTTATAAATGTGGAAAATTTGGCCATATAGCTCCAAATTGTAAGCTTCAAAAGCTGAAAATCTTAGAACTAGACAATGAGTTACGTGATATGGTTTATGGTTTGTTATATACTTCTGGATCAGAATCTGATTATTATTATTCTGAGTTAGAATCTGAAGCTGAAATAGATTTACTTGATTTATCTGATAGTGATAAAAATATTGATAATACTTGTGCAGCTTGAAAAGGTAATACATGTAC